TAGGTGCGTAACTCGCTTATCTACGTGACTCGCTTATTAACTACGTTATAGGTAATAAATTTTAAAGACTTAGCTGTGACTATATAGTGGCTGCGAGACTATCTAACACCTAACCTGAAGAGGTAGCTATGTGGCACGTGTATTCCACTATCTATAGCTATAAAACGATATATTGAACTCGGTCGTTAAGAACAGTTGTTGCATACTCATGCTGATCAGAAAGCTACATCCAAGGCGAAGAAGTCTTTAGTACCAAATCAGTAGGCCCAGCACAACACCACCTGGAAGCTTACAAACTACCAGTTGCGGCCAGTAACGGCGAAATGCTCCTAAGCACGTCACAAGGTGTTATTGTTGTCCGAGTATATGTAAAAGTCAACTATTTAGAAGCTAAATGGGAACAGCTCATTTACACCTGGCATTACAAGACACGCTCGTCTGGGTTTGCAGTATTGCGACTGACCCAGCCGCTCTTGGATAAGTCACCAAACAGAGTGGGAAGAGCCTCACAGATAACCGCAATTCGGCTGAACATTGATATTGCCATCCCACACGCGTGCTACTATCACGAACGAGTTTGCGAGCTCCACTGAATGCTCGATATCAAGCGCTAAGAACCTGTTTCTAGTATGCTGGAACGCCAGTGTATAGATGTCACAACAGTTGTAGCAAGGTCTACCTGGACCGCTGTTCTGCTCTGCTATATCATTAGCTCTGTTAGAGCACAATCAAGTTTAAAAGTATGTGAACCTGGTGGCATACCTAGGTAGGGAGCCACTATAGCTAAGTTCCCATAAGCCCAAGGTCTCTGAATGAGAAATCGGTATCAGTACTTCTACCTACAGTGAGAAATCGGTATCAGTACTTCTACCTACAGGATGCGACAGTGGGCAAGTCGCGATGTGAGCTCGCGATGTGAGCTCAAGGCGGTGGACGCGCCACAGCTCAAACAAAAAAAGCACCGCCACATTGTGCCACAGCCAGGAAAAGCCGTCACCGCCCGCCGCAACCAGCCTGCGACAACGACCTTTGGAAAATAGAAATGCAATCGCTTCTCTTTCTTATTGGCTTGAGTCTTTGTAGTTCGAACATATCCTTGTTTAATTATCGGGTTCCTCTCAACGAAAGGAGAAGAACCTCTGAACAGCGATTTCCTTTGCTTTAGGTGGGGAATTTAACCTCCATAGGTAGGTACCTTCCCAAGTACCTAAATATTTCCTGGCCGCTGTAAACAGCTACAAAAGATTATTGGCATTTTTCCTCGCCCTACCCCCTCCATAACCCTCCCCTCGCGGCCACAGCGCGCGTCCGGATACATACCCAAACACCAGCTGCTTGCTGCCTCCTGCCGCGAAACCACTTTATTCTTCGTTCCTTACTTCTGAGTACCCTGTATCCGGCGGTTTCAATCACCACCGGAGCTCAACACAGCGTCCCAAGCGATCTGGTGCGATCCCCCTCCCCCGCTCAAATTTGTACACAGCCGCTCACCTCTAGCCAGCAACAGATCGCAGGCGCGGTGGAAAAATTACATTCACGTGTTTGTTATCCTATCACAACCCTTTCCTACATTGTGATATTTGATCCAAAGTTCCACATCAACCGCCATCATGTCAGTACTGTCTGCCGACATTCACGCTGAGCTGGCGCAGATGCTCCAAGGCCTTCAGTCCGCCGACAACTCTATCCGGTCGAGAGCCGAGGAGCACCTTCAAAGTAACTGGACTGTCACACGCCCGGAAATTCTTCTCATGGGTCTCGCCGAACAGATCCAGGGCGCTGGAGACGAACAGGTCCGATCTGTAGTCAACATCTCCGATTCTCGCGACTAATCTGTCACAGACCCGATCCTTTGCCGCTTTGCTATTTCGACGAATCTCCTCCAAGACCCGAAAGCTTGAGAACGGACAGACCGTCGATATGTTTCTTGCAATTGCCAAAGACCAGGCCGCCGTCATTCGCCAGAAGCTACTAGAAACACTGGGCAGCGAGACGGACAGAGCCGTACGCAACAAAATTGGCGATGCAGTTGCGGAAATTGCGCGCCAGTACAATGAAAATGGTAGGTTTGGCCCATGTTCTAAGCCGATATCAGTAATTTGGGTGGTGGTGCTAATGCCTCGCAGAAGATCGTTGGACTGAGGTGCTCCAGGCACTCTTCCAGCTCACACAGGCACCCGAGGCTGACAAACGCGAGACGGCTTACCGTGTGTTTGCCACCACTCCCGACGTCATCGGCCAAGATCAGACCGATGCTGTTCTCGTTGCCTTCCAGAAAGGATTCAAGGATGACGCAGTCAATGTATGCAGATCAGAAAGGAATTTCCCCCAAGCATCTGCTCACCCATCGTTCTAGGTCCGTCTTTCTGCAATGGATGCTTTCGCTGCTTTCTTCAGAAACATCGACAAAAAGAGCCGAACCAAGTACTCGGCCTTGATACCGGATGTTCTTAATATCCTCCCGCCCATCAAAGACTCCCAAGAATCCGACCATCTCAGCAAAGCTCTCGTCGCGCTCATTGAATTGGCTGAGATTGCCCCCAAAATGTTCAAGCAGCTTTTCCAAAACCTAGTCCAGTTTTGTGTCTCTGTCATCCAGGACAAGGAACTTGACGACGTCTGCCGACAGAACGCTCTTGAGCTTATGGCCACATTTTCCGAATACGCCCCTTCAATGTGCCGAAAGGACCCTTCGTTCGCGTCTGACATGATTACCCAGTGTCTGAGCTTGATGACGGAAATCGGTGAAGACGACGACGACGCTGCGGAGTGGCTCGCCTCTGACGATGTAAGAGATATGAAAAGATTAAAGTCATGACAATTAATACTAACGTTTACGGTTGTAGCTGGATCAGGACGAAAGCGACCAAAACCACGTTGCTGGAGAGCAAACTATGGATCGACTTGCCAATAAATTAGGCGGACAGGCTATTCTTGCGCCCACGTTCAACTGGCTACCCCGTATGATGCAGTCGGGCTGGAAAGACCGACATGCTGCTTTGATGGCTATCTCTGCCATTTCCGAGGGCTGCCGTGATCTCATGCTCAGCGAACTGAACCAGGTTCTGGATCTCGTCATTCCTGCCCTGCAACACCCGCATCCTCGTGTTCGGTGGGCCGGCTGTAACGCTCTTGGCCAGATGAGCACGGACTTCGCCCCCGCAATGCAGAGCGAATATTACGACCGTGTCTTGAAGGCAAATATTCCAGTTTTAGACTCGCCTGAGCCTCGAGTCAAGTCTCATGGTGCTGCTGCCCTGGTCAACTTCTGCGAAGAGGCTGAAAAATCTACCCTGGAGCCATATTTGGATGACTTGTTGTCTCATCTCTTCAATCTCCTCCAGAGTGATATGAGATACGTGCAGGAGCAGGCTCTCTCAACTATCGCTACTATTGCTGATGCCGCCGAGGCTGCATTCTCAAAGTACTATGACACTTTAATGCCGCTTTTGGTGAACGTACTGCAAAATCAAAGTGAAAAGGAATACCGTCTTCTCCGTGCCAAGGCTATGGAGTGCGCAACGCTGATCGCGATTGCCGTTGGAAAGGAGCGACTCGGTCAGGACGCCATGACTCTGGTCAACCTGCTCGCTAATATCCAAGCTAGCATTACTGATGCAGATGATCCTCAAGCGCAGTACCTGATGCACTGCTGGGGTCGCATGTGTCGTGTTCTTGGCGCTGACTTTGTTCCTTTCATGAGTAGCGTCATGCCCCCCCTGCTCGAGCAGGCGATGGCCAAGGCTGACATTCAGCTCCTGAATGACGACCAGGAAGCTGAGGCTTTGCAAGGTGAGGAGGGCTGGGAATTTGTTCCTGTGAAGGGCAAAATGATTGGCATTAGAACCAGTACCATGGAAGACAAGCACATGGCGATCGAACTACTTGTTGTATATGCGCAGGTGCTCGAGGGCGCCTTCGCCCCGTACGTCGCTAACATCATGGAAGTCATCGCCCTGCCCGGTCTGGCATTCTTCTTCCACGATCCCGTCAGATACATGTCGGCAAAACTGGTACCCCAGCTGCTGATCTGCTATAAGAAGGCCTATGGAAGCCCATCCAATGAGCTAGCCGGATTGTGGAACGCAAGTGTGGAGAAACTGATCGAAGTTCTTGCCGCTGAGCCTGCTATTGACACACTGGCCGAAATGTACCAGTGCTTCTATGAGTCCGTTGAGGTGGTGGGCAAAGACTGCCTCAATGCAGACCACATGACCAAGTTCATGGATGCTGTTCACTCCACTATTGTTGACTACCAGGAGCGCGTTGCACAGCGAGCGGAAGAAAGAGAGAGTGCCACGGCGGATGACGTGGAAGATGATGCAGAAGAGACACTTATTGCCATCGAAGATGACCAAACGCTCTTGTCCGACATGAACAAGGCATTTCACTCCGTCTTCAAGAATCACGGGGCCACCTTTCTTCCTTTATGGGAAAAGCTTCTGCCAACATATGAAGGGTTTTTAACTTCTTCCGACCCTACTCAGCGTCAGTGGGGCTTGTGCATAATGGACGACGTGCTTGAGTACTGCGGTCCGGAAAGCATTAGATATGCCAACTATATTTCACAGCCCCTTATCGATGGATGCCAGAACTCGTCTCCTGCTGTTAGACAAGCGGCAGCCTATGGTGTTGGTGTCGCTGCTCATCGCGGAGGTGCGGCCTGGTCTCAATTCTTGGGTGGCGCTCTGCCCATCTTGTTTCGGGCTACACAAATTTCCGATGCACGGAATGATGACAATGTCTATGCTACTGAGAATGCTTGTGCATCGATTGCCAAGATCCTGCACTACAATGCCAGCAGCGTTGGCGATGTACAGGCTGTTATCACACAATGGATTGAGACTTTGCCGATTACCAATGATGAAGAGGCCGCCCCGTATGCCTATGCGTATCTCGCAGAGCTTATCGATCAGTAAGTTGCTCTCTATAAGGAAAGCAGAAGAGATACTAATTCGGGTCACAGGGGCAACCCAACTGTTATGGCCCAAGCATCTAAGCTATTCGTCTTCATCGCACAGGCTCTTGAGGTTGAGACGTTGCGAGGTCAGACTGCAAACAGAGTGGCCATAGCGACCAAGACAATGCTTACAGCTGCTAACGTCGATCCTATGCCATTGCTGCAGCGGTTTTCTCCGGATGCTCAACGCACAATCATGGGTTTTTTTAGCTAGAGGAGCAGGCATAGAGGCTCGATGTCGGGCTGTAGATTTAGTTATGGAGTTGGTATGGAAAGAAGATGTGTCGAAAACGTTAGCAAGGTAGACAATATCTATTGACAATGGGAAATGCTTGAGCCGATAGAGATAAGACAAAGTTGCATATGAAGAGCTACTTAGGATCATGACCTAATTTGCAAATTTCTTTTCTCTCAGGGTTTCTTCCGGGGACAATTGTTTATGTCTGTATGCGGTCTGCATAATAGCGACAGTATCTTGCGCATTACACGCACCCGTCGCTCCGCCTAGGTGCTGCAGGGCTAGGTGGCCACCATAGGTCCTACACGTGCCACGCACCTACCTCTCTCTCTCAGGAGGGTACTAGATAGCAACGCGGCTTACATACCTTGCGGCCTACGTCTACTACTACTTATAACTAATAATTTTTTTTAAAAAGCTATAATAAGCTAATTAATTAGTAAAAAAGAATCTAGAGTTAAAAGATATTTATATTTTTTTAATAATAATCTTAACTAATATAGTTAATAAGTAAGTTACGTAGATAAGTAAGTTATATATCTACCTTAATCTTATAATATTTAATTATTAATAATTTAACTATAATATAAAAAAAGNTCTAAAACTAATTAAAATCCTCTTCTTTACTAGTTTTTATATTTATAATATAAATATATATTC